ATCGAGCCAAGGGTTTTTTTGCAAAATACCTGGGGTGGTTTCAACGAACGGCGCATTCTTACTGCAGCTAGTCGATACTCTTGTGAAGCTATGCAAAGTTCCAGAGGCCATAACTATTTCGAAAAGTTACTTTTATCGAGACTTTCAGATCGCATATCCACTGCTGCAATTCGCCAACAAGCCAATCGCCGATGACATCTATTTATGAACCGCCCCTTCTATAAGTTTGCGCTCTGAGAGCTTCGTCACGAAATGACGGACAGGGTCGGGTGTCCTTAATAATGAGTGGCTTGACGCCAGCTGCTGGTCAGTGTCCTACACTACCTGAAAACTGCCAACGTGATTTTTCCATGAACCCAGAATATACGCGATTCTTGAAGGTCAGGGCTTCATTTTGTATCACGTATTTTAGTTTGGTACAGACAATGATTCTATGCGAACTTGAATCAGACTGATCCTAGTCAAAGCTATAAAGGACCGAAACAATGATTTAATGTTTTAGACTTAAGAACGGCAATTTATAGATTAAATGTGTATTTATGTAAATATGTTGATAAGCAGCGGCTACCACGTGCGTCGTTACAGGTTTGACATTCAATGAGCAGCGGGCGGCGATCGTCTGATGGTCCCTTTCCGATCGTTCGAGCCAATTGTATACTAGATGTATATGTATATAATATGATATGATGTTTCTAGGTGAATAAGTGTAATTAAATATGATAAGTAAGGGTGAATGATGTGCTAAACAGTATTGCTCTATTTATCATCTAGCGTCTTGATAAAATAATGATTTCGCTTTATGGCAATTTATGGCAATTAAATTTTTTAAATTTACAGATTTATCGAGAAAGCGCCGTGACTCTGGATAAGGACTCAACAACTTAGTCATAAGAACGACTATTTTTAATGCACAAGTTGACTAATAACAGAAATAAAGTTAATGGTTATTAAAATAAACAAATTCATTCACATTTAAAATATATTATAATATAAAAGTAAGCTAACCTTTGGTTGTAGTAGACAAGCGTTCAATCAGATCAAATTAACAGAAGTCATAGGTACAAGATGCCCGAATGCTCACTGCGCCATTAGGGCGTAGCGTAAAGTACATTGAATATCGAATAGAGCTATTGAGAATGACAAAGTATCGAGACATCAACAGCCATTATTTAAATTATAAAGGCAAAATAAAGTGCTCATATGCACAATTACAACGAAACGAATTATCGCCGTAAAGGAACAAGCCGTAAAGTCAGTACGGACTTACAGAAGGCCAATATATTTTGCATGTAAACTAAAGTATGTTTAAATTTATATATTTCCACATTTTTAGGACGTGATTCCTTCGGAGAAGCCATAGAAAAGACGATTCTTGCTAGTTACAGCCAAATGACAAAATTATGCTTTGCGTGTGTCTGAGTACTATACGAAGAAACGGGTACTTTCTCAAGCGGTAGTTAAGATGATCAATGTATACATGATAAGGGCAGCACGAATTATCAGCTTTTTTTTTTAAATCATGCGAATTTATCGCTTTGTAGAGCATGCGAAAAAGAGAAGATACACCGATTTTCATGAATCAATTTAGTCAGTCGATACTTGATCAGTAAGCTACTTCGTTTTGGGAGTTTGGTGTACTATAACTAGCCTATGTTAAGGACATAGATTAATAGTTTCTTGTTAATTCGACACGCTCTATTATTTATATTTCTAGTAATAGTATGCGAAGGCAACAAAATAATTAACATCATAATCAGCTGGGAACAATACGCTTGGCCGTAAAAAAGTTTTCATGTGTTAGTTTTTGTTTAGACCCTAGTACAAGTGCCATATGGCACGTTTCATTATATATTTGTTACTATGGTTACCCAAATGTGGACAATGATCTTTGTCTCCCCTTGTGTTTGTGCTTCCAGTCCCGAAGGTTTCCTTCTATTATATTTGCGATGCAAGACTGCAAGTGTCATTCTTGCTACACATTAATGAGTCAGATAGCTCATGTTGCCTAATATACTGGCTGTCATTACTTATAGCACTATAGGAAAGTTAAAGTAGAATCAAATGGTTTGCCTCTAATTAAAGGAAAGAGTTATTCAGAGTTTGAAGTGATCCAGACCTGTAGAGCTATGTTGGAATCAACTAGCATCCTATTGCTGTTGGCAGAAACATTCAGCTATTTGCGCAGGTTTTCTTGAGCTTTTAAAGGCGAAAGGATCACCTCAACTTACAATACACTCCAAAGTTGTTGAATTCTATTCGCTACAAATCGAATTTTTAGCATTTTAAATTTCTATTTTGCAAAACGAACCCCAAAAAGTCTCGTAAACCAAACCCTAAGCTCTGCTTAAACACACGTGACATCAACTATATAGCCCCAGACCAATCTACTTCCATAAAAGCTAGCGACGCATTTCCTGAAACATTCTAAAAGCTAGTGTTCTTAGTTCTTAATAACATTCCTATTATTCTTAATAACTTTCCTCTAAGGTTTGTGGACCTGATATCCCCCTTATCAAGCTCGCAAGTTAAAATCGATCATTACTGAACATAAAATTAAATACAAATCAGTTCTCCATAAGCAAATTCACCTATTATAATTACACAATTTCACTGTGTTTCATATCAAACAATCACACTCAGTGAAGCGGCCAATAAAACAGTAGCCGTGAACAGAGATATGTTTTAATCCACAATTAGTGCCCAATTATTAATTGTATCTGCTGATGTTATTTATTTCCAAACAATTCCTTCTCTGGCTTCAAAAGTGAATTCGGTACCTGTACGATTAAATCAAATAATATTATATAGGTACCAGTCTGGTTTATTTTATCATGGATTTATAGAGCAAGCTATAGATTTATATCAATTTGTTTCGAAATAACTTCAGTTAGAAATTTTAGTTCATTAATAGATCATTTTCATTAAATGGCTGAAGTTTAAGCGATAGCCTCTTAAGCTAATTTATGAGTACATCCACTTTATCGTGTCTATCATGTTTCGGTGCATTCTCTAGCACTTCGAAGTCGTTATTACGTACTTTCCGCGTAATGGACACAATGTGATTTTGTCAGTAGCAATAATACTCTTAACTCTTCCAATGTGACAAAGCCGACGTCAGCTCTCGAGCGCTCAATAAGAAAGATGTTCCGAGATACCTAAGCAGAACACTTCTGATTCGATTAAAACACTCTACTCACCCGCTACTTGATTCGTTTCATGAGGTACTAATAGGCTATTTCGTAAACCAATGAAAAACGTCATAATCTGATTTTTGTATAAAAAAATAGGCCTTTGGCCAAGGCAGTAACATGTATGTGTATAAAGAAAATCATTTTAACGCAACCCATTTTGGGCTAGTGTCTAGTAGATTCTAGTGAATGAGTATTCAAATGTAATACGGACAATAAGTAGTCTGTGCGTTTAAACTTCGCGTTGCAATTTTTTCCATATCCTTTTGAATAATGCGGGCCACAGAGTTCTCGGCTGTTTTCATATTGGACAAAGTAAGCGTAGTTTCGGTAAACTTCGTATACAATTGCATACGATATATATCCGAAGATAATTATTCTTTCCCTGATCAGGCTTTCAAAAAAATCATACCAGATTCATCCACAAGCAACGATATTTTTCCTTGAAGTTAAGAAACGTTTTAGTTCTCGCCTTAGTCAAATAAAGTGACTTATAGCGATGGCGCACCATTTTAAAACTTCACAAGCTGTTAAACCGGCGTGTTTTCAATTTCCCGTTCAGAATGTAGTAAAAATCCGATTCTCAATGTGATTTTATTTTCAAAGAATTATTTTACTAACCTCTTTGTGAGTTTCATAGAGCGGAAGTACGCGTACGGACTTAAACGAACGAATATCAGAAATGCTTTTTGAAGTTACCAAAGATATTTCTAGCACAAACGGAAGTCACTACAATTAATACACACATGTGCAATGCACCGATAAGGCAACAGAAAAATCAACATACATTTCATCAGAATAATACCTGAATCAAACTCTTGTTTTGATGATTGCAATGTTCTGGCAAAAATCTGTTCTAACAACTTGATTGGGGATTTGGTTCGCAGCAGCTTTAGTGAGCTTTGTGGTTTAAAAAGCACATACAAGTGTTGGACTAAGTATGTCCGTGTTCTTATGAATAGTCAAATAGTTGTCCAAAAGTTGAAACATTTTGTTTAATGACCTTCCATGTGCTAGGATATCTATAAGTCAGTACAATATTTTCCCATGTAAAGCTGTAAGGCGCCACCTTTGGTTTGATCGTGCTTAAAAGACAAGTATCATATCTATCTAAGACTGCAAGGATTCCACCTACTTAAATCAAGTGATCGGCTCTAAACATATACCCATAGCTATCTGCGTTCTTTTTGTTTGGCAAATGTGACTCGAATATTGACATGCAATCCTTATCACGCAAAATAGTGAAAATATGATCAATTTAGTACATTTTGTTAGGGTGGTATTTGAACAAGCTGGGCATAAGCTTAAACTGCATTATTTTACTGACTTACTACACTAACTATTAATATGATTTCATTGTAACTACAGTTCATTATATAAATCAACTATAACTCAGACATATATAGGTTCTTTATGTACTGCATTTATGAGATGAGATTTTAGATGAAAATAACGCATGTTTCATCTTAAACAGTCGCGTTCTTCGCAACAATCTGTCTTACTCCACTTAGAATCAGCTAATACTTTTTCTCAAAGTTAATACGCAGTAACAGAAATTTTGTTTTACCATGGCTTTCGCGGGAAACGCGTCAGTTTTATCGACGCACCCGCGCGCATATGCTATCGCCCTCTGTTTTCTCCTCTTTTGTTTGCAGACAGCAAGCATGAATCGAAGCGCCGTCTATAAACAAAAACAGGTCCATGTGGTTCGAATCGATATTCGATCACGAAGAAGCTGTTTTCCGATCACGAACTGTTCACGGGTCAAATGAACAATACGTCTGGCCCAGTAGGTGAGTATCTCTCTTTCGCGGTGATAGTAACACAAAGTACGGAGGCGTTTATGTTTTTTGCTTCATCCGCAAGAAGCAGCGCAGTAGAGCGTCATGTTGCTGTAAACACTCAGTAACTGGCCGGTTGCTTTAAAACGCCTGGGCAGACGTCCGAAATATTCGAAGGCGGACAACATAAAAGCCGTTGTGGTTATAGATGTAGAGAAGAACAGCGCGTTTTCGTTATAAAGTAAAATTGTATAACGCCAAAAAAATGGCGACAGTTTTTCTTTAGCAGTTAGATTGATCTCGCTCGTTGAGCGCATATGCGTAATCTTCTCTGGATGTCTGTAGCAAGCGTAATGCCAACTGTATAATGTAGTGTGCCTGTTTTTAATGCAAATATGAAGTCGTAAGTGTTGCGTATACAAATCATTTTATTAGCCGTAACTACCTGTTAGAAATAACCGTGCCCATTATGCTGACAGGTATTCATTGATTCAAAACAAGCTGGCACTGGAGCGCGTTAAGCCCTCTAGATCATTTTATGCATATAATATTATAATATGAACTAGAGGTATCTTTACAACTTAATCAGGTATGTCAGATTATAGTTGCAGTAGGATTCTTACCGTTTGCATAAATGACCTATTGCCGTAAGCAAATATATAGGAATGCACTAATCATCGTCATATCCTAACAGTAACTTGAGTTTCTCCGTGCAACCCTTAACCGTTTTGTAATGTTAACAAATAGCACCCAGTGTGGTAACATATCATGAAATCGGTAAGTTCTAGTTTCAGAAAGGATGTCAAACGAAACCAAAAGCCGGGCGGAAAAACTTCGTGACAAGCGGCTTATCCGAAAAACGAGAAGAAAGGCCCTTCTCGTTAAAGTAAGCCACTTCTATCACTTTCCTGATATAAACAGACCTGAAGTGATCATCCATAGATTTTTCGATGATTTGGTGGTTGCAATATCTGATTGGTGCCATACGTTCTGTATTTTTTCCTAACCTTTTTAAGAGAAATTAAGGAATAAAAATTCACGATTCTACATGCAAATTAACAACCATAATTTGATTGGTAATCGTCTGATTTCATTGACGATCATTTTATATTCGTCTTTTGCAAACATGTAGGCCGCGAAAACTGTAGTGTCAAGACCAACAGGGTCTGAAGGCGTGTCAGCCAACTGGGAAAGGCTTAAAGATATCATGGGAATCAAAAAAAGCGAATCTACTGAGATTCGTCAGGGTCAAAAAACGCCAGACAAATCACAGCTTCAAAAGTTGGTAAATTTTCTATAGTTAGTTCGTATTCCTTTTAAAGTTTGCCCCGCGAAGTTAGCGTATTAATTGATCGATTTGTTTATATCCCCTTCACCGCACGGATCCATAGCAAAAGGGTTTCAGCATAGATAATCAATAGAACGTCATATTGAAGTAGATAAGTTGATTTAAACTCAGTCTACTTAGGTATTCACTGATGTATTTAAATATCAATGGCTAGGAATATTAAAAAAGTAAGAATTTCTATTGCCTTCCACTCATATATCCTAATTATCTTTTTTATTATTAACACTATTCCAGCCCTACGAAGGTGCTGGCCCTTGACTGTGAAATGGTAGGAGTCGGTCCCGGTGGCCGTGAGCACATGTTGGCACGAATCACTATGGTCAACATCCACGGAAACGTCATTTACGATAAATACGTGAAGCCTCGAGAGACAGTTGTAGATTATCGAACTGCAATCAGTGGGATTAGACCTGAGCATCTCTGGGATGGTGAGTCTATGAACTGAACCATTCTTCTATTTTCCAGCTCACCTTTTAAAGCTGCAGCTTTCAGCTAGCCTAAATCCGTGAAATCATCGTGAAGATGTTCAGCATTTTCTTTGTTCATATAATTTGTCTCTTTGAAACTATTTACATAATAAATTGTTCTTTCGCATCTACGCTTTAAGGAATCTTACTGTATAACATCTTTGCGATATATTCCGTGTGTACATTATTGTCTCACAGGAATAGAGCTAACTGTGGTTCAGAAAGAGGTGTCAGATCTACTTAAGGAGCGTATTATTGTAGGACACGATTTGCGCCACGACTTTGAGGTTATGTTTCTCTCACATCCAAATAGAATGACTCGCGACACGTCGTTATTTCGGTGGGTAATACGTAGGATTATTTATTTATTATACAAGCGCATGTAAGCATTTGTTCTGTATTTTGGTTAAAGTAGCTGTTATTAGCAACTGCATATATGAGTTCAGACGTTTGTCATTACTCCATACGCGAAGGCGTGCACGATCTTCTGCAATATTACATAATTTCCCTTTAATATAAGACGACATAATTATTTTGTTTAAAATCACGGTTCTGTGTTTCTCCCTCCGTTTGTTCTACAAGGCTTTTTTGTGTTTACTCGCTCATACGGCGCACCTACCAATTTTCGCTACGATCGACTGACCTTCATTAAATTTACGTTGATGTACAAATTGCAGACCGTTTCGAGAAATGTTTGGAGGACGTACGCCTTCGTTAAAAAATCTTGCCCTCAAAATCCTTGACCTGAACATACAAGAAGGCGAACACAGTTCCGTACAGGATGCCCAGATCGCCATGAAACTTTACTTACAGTATCGAAGACGTTGGGAAACCGAAATGAAGAAACGTCACAACCGCATAAAACGAAAACTGGAACGACGCAAGGAAAAAACGGCGAAACTGTCCCAGGATAGGCGAATCGACCAGCACCAACGAGGTCAACAGAAGCAAAAGGAAAACTGTAAACAGGAGGACGAAGGAGGCGAAGGCGACAGTACCTCAGAAGATGACAGAACAACAGCTATGTAGAGGAAATATGCTCATCTATGTATCTAATACCGCAATGTCGAGGATCGCCATAGAAACTTTAACAAAAATTGACGAGTGATACTGCGGGGCATTCCTATAATTTACTAAGGATATGGAAACACCGACCTAGCTTCTTCTTTTAATGGGTAAGTAAACCTAGTTTATTTTATCTAATCAACCGTACAGGCTTTCTATAGCGATTGTTCGTCAGCGCGAAGAACAAGAAAAGAGAGATTACAGAAACGAGAAAAATAGAATCTACTTATGTGAACCAATTAATTCTTTTTCACTAACAGCGAAGTTTTTAAATATTCGCTCACCCAAGTTTACCTAAGAAACGCAGTGCTTTCGCTCCGCTACAATAAATTCATTAATCCGACGTCGTTTCAACGCATGTTACTCGAAAGAGTAGATGTAAAAGTAAAGTGAGTTACGTTTGACGAATATGTTCGCATGTTATTCTGCCGGGCCTTAGTAATGACTAATTATTTAATATACGGGAGCGATAAAACTATAATTTTCAATTAGATAATTTCCTGCTACAGTGAAATTTAGCACGGGCTTTAATAAACCTTTTAGTATTAGAATACTTCAAAAATAGTTTGAGGAACTCTTTGTATATACCACTCGAATTTTTTGTTCTTCGAGAAAATATTCTCTATAAAATATCATATCGTTTTACTGCTTTACTTATTAAAACAGAAATATGAACAATTTGTAATCGACGACTAAAGGTTTGTTGAGCTTATTAACAATTATATTCGTAGTAGTCCAGCGATTCTAATACACTGATGTAACTTTTTGCCAAAGTAGGTTTAGTAATATCATACAGTTGTCGTTGTTTTTTTGTCCGTTATTCAACTCTGATTTATTTATTATGTCTGTTTAAAATGTTACTAATGTACCCATTTCCTCTTATGCCTACATAAAGAGGTGATATTCGTGATAGTTCGTCGATGATACCTAGTATTATCTTTCCGTACTAGTAATAACTCGAAATGAAACACTCCATGAAAGGATACAAATTACAAATTTCAATTTAAGCATGCGTTTTGAAAGGCAGACACTAAATATTCACATACCGACATAGCGAAAATGGAGTATTTGTCACAAGCCCACGTCTGAAGCAGTCCTTTGAACGAGGATTCAGCACTCAAATTCCAAAGAGATTTGAATATCGGAAAAAGAATTAGAGGCATTTGTGGTTGCATTAGGGTATCGAACAACAAAAGTAGATTCGAATACGCTGAGCTAGCGCAATATTATGTACGTCAGTGTGTTCTGAGTGAGTAGATTTATTCGTGAAGTAGAAGATCATTAAGTATATTGTGAGAGACTGTACGCTTAGCAAAGCAATTAAGAAATATATGCCAGCTCGGCGCTAAAACAAGATTACGAAAATCAGTTTTTAAAGAACTAGGCAACACTGCATAAGTTTTGTGACGAGTTGGGTAAGGGATCAGGCGGCAAGGGTAAAGAGGTTTTCTTTATCGACAGTATCCTTCTAATCTGAAAAGCACCTATAACGGATGCAAGCCTATAACTTCCGCATAGGGAGCTGGTTAAAGACGATACAAACATGAAGTGGAAGAATATTTCAATAAAATTATCGTGGTCCAATAATATAAACCTGTAGTGTAAGTCGATAGAAATAAAAGCTATTACGATTGAAACATTAAAAAAAGATATTGTTATCACCTAATCATGTGTTCGGTCTTTATAGAGAATTTCGCCTTATACATACCACTTGTCATTAGGCTAATTACATAGTACTACATATTGACAATCCGATATTTCCTAAATCCATAAAAAATAATATAAAGCTTCAATAAATTTTGAGTGAATTTATTACCAAGGAACACGACTGAATGGTCAGGTTTATTTTAAAATAGGGGACCTAGTATATAGTTAACCTCTAGCGTCTATCCGGATGCATGTGATTAATGCTATGAAACCAAAGTAAATTACTGAAAAATAGAAAAATATTCTACTGCTTTACGCGTCTCCCATTAATTTTCTATAATAATTCACAGACCATTGTCGATCCTGCAGCGCATCAAGCGAGACGACCATTTGGAAAGTGTTCGTACATTGAGGAGCTTAGGTGACATATGATTAGTTCGCTGATGTCATTACAAAATATTATTTCTAGTGATTATTCAGGGATAAATAGATCGTACTTTTGAATCGTCCTTAAATCATCGTGTTTGCTGTCTAATAGATACACGACTGACTGAGGTAAAATTTCTCAACCACAAAAGTAAATCATTTGGTAAGCTTATGTTCTTTAAAGTTGTGCTGTTGTGTCGTTAGAAATAAACAACTAAATAACCTGAAGGCTTTATAATAGATTCAGATTTAGACAATATTTCTTTGCTTTCTTATTTTTGCAGTTAAGAACTGTTGTCTTTATGTCTGTTCTAAAATTTGGTTTTATTGGCCAGCCCAGGGTGTAAGAGTATTGAATATAAAAGACCTTGTTATTATTTTTAGTTTCTGTGGTGCCTGTTATAGAGAAATAAATATATCACAATTCTGTGAAAGTGATCATTGTTTCATTTGAAAGACAGTTAGGATGTCAGGATCCCATGTTGACGCCACTTGTCGACAACATCTGGACAAACCGGCTCTAGCACTTCCAGGATTTTTTTTTCAAGCCGAGCGTTCATTTCCGGTGTAAGGGTGTCTCTCCAGCCGCCAACGCGACCCTCTCGAACAAAACTGGGAAATTTCGCGACAGATTCGTCTTCAATTTTCGAAGGAATGTTTGCCATTATAAAATTTTTAATACCTGTAAGCACCAAAAATAGGGTTAACTATTTGAACTTTATTTTTGAACGCAATAACAATAAGCTCGCATATAAAAGAGTAGGACGGGTTAGCTAGTTCGCATAAAAACACTAAAAAGTTACCAAGGTAGTGGTATCGGCATTATACCAAAAATATATAACTTGTAAATAGACGTTTAGTTGGTTTTTAATGTTGGAGAACATAAGCTTCTTCCCGTCTTATTGTTGGATATTTACTGGAATCGTAGTGTTATTTCTGTATGTGTATTAAAATTAATTTGCCTGATTGCATGCGCAAGCGCTTTAATCTCACGATGAAGGTATTATAAAAACACACCTGGCGCGTCATCGTCGACCATCTTTAAAGGAATCTCAAATTTTGAGAACTCCTTTTTCATCGTGTCAATCGAGCTGTTTTTGATGACTTTATCTAGTAAATCCGTGGTGAGAATTTTATTATAAATATTTTCATCCATAAACTTGCTTAATCGGAGTATCTCACTGCGAGGGTCCTTTTTTATATCTTCGTAGTGGAGAAAAATGGTGTTGTCTTCCTTTGTTTGTGGATACCAGGAGAGTAGATGTGTGAAGTAGTCATTGTATTCAATCTCACCAGCCATAAATAGCTCGAAGAAATCCTCGAATTTTCCGTCGGCAAAGTCGTATCCCGAGAACGTTTTCGTTTGGTGGTGAAAATATGAAACCACACAGTCTGTGAACACAATATCTTTTAAGTTGTTCATCTTACGAAACGTTGTAAACGCGCTTTAAAAATAACTGACAGTGAGGAGATCATAACCCATACAGTAAAATCTAGCACAGCACGGAGCATTATCTTCGCTTCGTAAGCTTCGAAAACTTTTATATGTGTTTGTGAAAAAAGTTGCCGGACGTTCTATTTTGGCTTAAAAATTAATGAACTCCATATTCCATGAGAATAATATTGACTTGTCTAGCTAGATTAATGGAAACTGTTTATATTAGTTGAGTAGGATACTGAGAACCCCCTTTTTTTTTTTGACTAAAATGTTGAAATATGTTCTGTTAACTCTTACGTTAAGACTCGAAAAATAATCCATTTTATATTAGATCTGCCTAGACCTGTTTAGTTTTTGTCAAGATACAGTATGTGTACCTTTAGGGTTTCTGAGGACATAAATATATTTTGCTTGAGGCGAATATGGTACGAGATTTCTTGGTAAGTGTGTCTTGATGCAGCCGGGCCGACGCATTCTGCGTGGTCCTTCTTGTCCCGTAACTTCTATAAACGGATTGTTTCGTAAACGGTCTAGGTGGTCCGCCGGGGGAACACCGTCATTGTTCAACAGGTAAGTAATCTCCAGAGTCCAGGTGGTGCCGCATTTTGGAAAAGTGGCTACGAATACATCGTCTATATAAACGAGATTATGCATAAAGAAAGAAAGAAAAAATTATCGGAGTTTGTAAGTACAGTTAATAAATTACGGTACTAGGTTGTTCACGTAAATATTTCATCGACGCATTAGCTCTAATAGCTAGAATGTAGCAGATGAATCATTCTGATCAATAATTCTGTTTTTTTTTTTTGCTAACATGGTAATTTCATCACTGTAGAATCTCTGTGATTTCTGCCCAAAAATTCTGACAAGTAATTTGGTTATATTGGTCCTAGCTTGCTGCAAAAATTTCTAAAGAAGGCTTTAGCCATCAATTAACAATCGTGCCTATAAAGTACTATTATGTTTGAGGTCAAGAATAGTAGTAGGCAAGTTGTTTCCGTTCGGGATTACGTTGCATCATTCTCACATAATATAGGACAAGGTCAGCTAGGACTAAACACGCGCACGGAGTAAATACTGAAGGTCACGGCAGTAGGAACCAAACTACTAGACCCTATTGTGATAACAACTTGAACATACAGAAAATGCAAATAGCTTTCTATTTTGTATTATAAAACTGATGCTTTGAATGTTAGGGCAGCTACAGTCTAAGGCAATTTGGCCGTGTCATTAACTATATCATCTCCTGGTGATGGCGCAGTGGTTATGTTTTAGCTAGCTAAACGTGAGTGAAGCTGTGTTCGAAACCTGGCGAAGACACACATTGTTTCGTGCTGAGAGAGTCAACTGTTGCAAACAGTGCTTAGCTGTATAAACAGTACTCAATTTATTTAGTATTTTTATAACTTAAGTGTCTGCGTATAACACAAACAGTTGTCACCAACGGTTGAAATCAAGGTTTTCTATGCATTTTGTGTGCATCATTCCTTACCGTCAATAGAATCAATAGAACTTCATGAAGGTTTCAGGGTCGATTTTCTAGACGTAGTTCTGTTTCATTTGTGGAACGCATTCAGTAGTAGAGCTTTACTATTTTTTAGCGACGTGCAGGTACATCTTTTAACTACAGCATGAAACCTATGTTAGAGTTATTTTTCTGCTTACCGCCTGGTTATTCAAGTACTGTAGTGGCACAAAGTCGGGCGAATCGGTGGTTTTTTCAAATAAAGTCACCAAGAGCAGCGAACCCACGCTGCTTGCTTAGCTATATCATCGCACATATACGGTGTCCTTAGGAGTGCCGCTAATTTATACGTATTTCGATAAGTTATTTCAACAATGCTTTTGTTAGAGCGCAGCTTGCGTCCCAATAGTCTAGATCGCCAATTTTGAACAACATAGTATAGAGTAGCGAGACAAATTCATAAGAGTAATTTTTAGCACTTGCAATACAATTCGGCTATGAGAAAGTTGTGATATCAAATCATAAAAGGGTGCCACTATGTTACAAGAATGAAAATATCATATCATTACAGTCATTACCTAAACAAGATTTAAACATTTACCGACAACCTCTTATTACGGGCATTGGTAATGAGACATAGAAATGACTCATAAGCTCGACAAGTTCTTTCAAATTATATATTACTGTTACTTAGCTTGCCAACTATAATAATAATTCTAAGGTACTTATATTTACTAGTTTCATTATTACTATGACCAATAGCACACAATATTTGTGTAAGAAAATTAAAATAATTTCGTGAAGATAAAAAGTTTTTCAAGCCATAATGTCAGAACTATCCTATAATGTCTATCATTGTGGTGAGCTAGCTAATATAAATTTCGGTCTTAACTTCGATTACTAAACAAGTAAAGGATCTTAATCTGTACCACTTCGTACTGGCGATTGACCTCCTCGGTAAATGATTTTGCTCCTGACGGCCAGCTAGAAGACGTACACATCGCCTAGCAGAGCTGCCAGACGAATTTATCTCCGTTGATGTAGTCTTGAGACTTCTAAAGCTGTTTTGTCTAATGGCTCATTCATTCATAGGTGCCACAACACAATGCCACATTTGCAGACTAAGCAATTGTCCATCCGGTATTTTTCTTACGAAATGTTTTTCCTAAAGTTTTACATAGAAATGTGTACTAAACCTCGCACACGGATATATTTAGAATTTTTAGAGTAGGTTGGCTGAAGCAAAATTTGTTTAAGTGATGTCCTGATTAAAACTATTTCGAAATAAGTGTTTGGAAGGTAAAAGTATCACAGTTTGCCTGTTGATAGCTAAAAAGGTCTCTAATGCAAGTTTGTTCGATGAGACGTTGATTGTTAGAAATGTTGCTTAAGTTAGTCTTAGTGGGCAGATATGAGTGAGCTCTTCCCAATGACTTGTCATACTTCGATGCAAATATAGAGAGTAGTCTTTTTTTATCAAGGTTGCGTTTTTCTTCTTATAAATTTGATATTTGCAAAAAGATATGACTGACATTACATATTTCATTTTATACAATATATCCTATAATTGATAAGTGGGACATTGAGTATCTAAGGCTAAAGAAACCATTATCTCAACACGTCCATGCTAGGATTACGATGGGTTAATCCTAAGCCTCACTTATTGTAGATTCTGCAGCATCGAGAACACGAGAGAAACGACTGTTATCAGAAATAATCTGTTAACATTTGAAATCTATTTGCGATCATGGTAGACCTTCATCATCATGACGATTATGATAGATTATCGAAACTGACGCGGTTATCTAGATGGCCAAGTCTTTCATCCAAGGACTCCAAGAGTCGCTGCCGCAAGTCCCGTCAACGACACATACTGCACAGTCAATGTAAACAATGAAAGCTGCTATACTACCAAAAGGAAGCGAGGATTTGAATTGTCTTAAAAGGCTATTTTGACTAGATATGAAATTTCTATACGAACATTTAAGTTTGGTAAGACTGCTTCAGTATCTAAAATATTAATGACACAAATTATCTCTAATATTTAAAAAAAAACGAGTAGCTTTCTTTAAATTACTTTCGTACGCGAAATAGCTATATCGAGCTTTGCCTTTTATTTGCTTTCAAGACGCCACGTCCTTTCCAACCTGACCTATGTGGCGATGACGATAGCACTCGATTAATGAGGCAGGTTTAGATATATAACGTAAAAATAACCCTGGATTTGTTCTCACATTCCCAATTTCAACCACTCTTCCCACAAAGAGACCGCATCTTCTTAGAGGCCACACCCTAACATCTGCCAATTTTTAGAAGTCTGTTCATTTTAAAATGATAAGATAATGAATGACCGGTTTATTTGCCACATATTCTCTTGTTTGGTAATCTTACGTAATCTAATGGCCATAGCTATAATATATACAATGATAGTGCGAGCAGTAGCAACGATACTTTGTACGAATAAAAGAATGCAAAGCCAAGAATCAAGAGAAGACTGTAAGAGTAAAGCAGTAATAAATATCGTATGCAAATTGCGTTAGAAATAAGTGCGACGTCGATTTAAACTATCAGCGGGCGGTTACGAAATTCTTTGACATTTTCTCAAGAAGGAGGCTCACATTAAAGAACTAACTTTGCAAATAGGTACCGCTTAGGTGGACCACGATGAAAACACTTGAACTCAACAGATTAACTTGGTTATAATGCCAATAGGGAAACTTGCATCAATTATGTAAGACCTGCTTACTTCCTAGATTATGCTACGGCTGGTGACGGTGCAATAATTTAATGAGATGTTTTACTTACCGGGTCGAGGCTGGTAGCTGATGGCTTCCCGCCAACTTTTGATTGTGAACGTCTTTGACAATCGCGTACCGTCTAAGTCGAGGTACAGGGGCTTCAGGCACACAATCCGCTCCTCACGACCTGGCAGGGTATCACCTAAACGAGTGACTTATTATTAAACTTAATACCCTTTGAAACATCGTGTTTACGTGTTGCATATGAGATATTATTACAAAAATGTTTGTATTCAGTAGAAAATTAAGCTAAAAATAAAATGTTATTTATATTTTGTTGTCACACATAAATGTTATCACATGAAAATCAAATACACTTATAATATGCCTAAAGTACTCTTGGACAAACGTCATGTAACCTTCCATGGCTTACATATTTTCGACAAATCTTTCGCAGAACAAGATCACATTTTTTTTTCTCGTTGTACGGTAGCGCAATACTGTATGTGGATATTCCAACATTCTTAAATATGAATACGTTGTAATAATTGCTTTATAGCCTACTTTGAAATCGCATATTGTTTAGTCGTTACGTAATATTCTATGAGAGTTTTCTGTCCTTATTATTATCCTTATTATATTATTAAGTATAAGGTTAACAGAACTGTCAGATTTCACCAAAATGCACTAAATAGCCATGACACGACAACAAATTTATAGTAGTATATATGTGTAGTCAATAAATTATTTAATCATAACTAGAGCAGAAAAATTTGTGTCATGAAGCGTTCCTTAACCAAAAAGTTGACTATTTTAATGTATTGCATGTATATTTTACCACACTCACCGATGTTCATGATGGCGTTTTCAGTGACAATAACTGGCTTCTTCCACTGAATAGCTTTTCATTGTCCAAGTATCGGTTCGTGGATTCGTCATAATCCCGTCACAGCTGTATAAGACCGTCTTTACGGTACCACTGAATTGCTATGACTCTGTGATCGTCGAGAAGAGCTTCCTTATTCTATTCCAACTAATACAGAACGTTCTGTGAACTGTCGAAGGTCATATTTGTGGAATAGACACACATGACTGCGCAACTCACCTACGTCTCTTTCTCATGGCTCTAGGCATTCACGCAGTATCGAGCAGCAGCAGCAACGCTAACACTGGCACAAATTATGGCACAAAAATGGAACTAGATCAATACCTGCGATAATCTTAATAATGGTCATAATGTCTTGTCGAATCTATCTTACAGACCCTTAATTTTGGCAAAACAGAGATGAAGAAATTATTACGCAGTGGCAAGCGCATTGAGAGAAGAGTACATAATGCTGGAAAGGGCCCTGGTATCATTTAGAGTTGTTATGAAAAAAATGATTGCTTTATTGCGAAGGGGGCAGCTGCGGACTGCTTGGGCAATCACCGCTCTTACTAGTCAGCTTTTGCCGCGTACCTGACGAACAGATTTATTCGACTAATAGTACAAGTTAATGTTTCGCTGAAGTGAGGCCAATATTGTAAAAATACATCTTCAAGCATCTTGAGGAGTTAAATGTTATTGGTCCTGGTGTTGATGTTGTCAGGTATATTCAGTGTGTCTTATTTCGTTTTTCTTATGTAAAACGACATTTTTTTTTTTTATAAGATCGCATAGTCCGAACGTAAGTAGCTCTTTGGAGTCCCAAATTAATAGCTCACGCATGGAGATGCTCATGTATTACAATTAGCCAGACCTGTATTTCTTAGGTAAACCAATTGGGTTTTAAGTTGTTATATAATTGACACCTAAGTTGAGAGCGCCGCTCAGAATGCACGCATACAACCCAAATGAACTACTGCTTCGGTGGAATCGACTAAGGTCTTCACAAGCCTTCGAGATACTTAAATAAAACCATAAACCCTCTATGTTTCGAGTTTTGCGTTCTGTATCTCTGTCGAGTATTCCATCAGATAGCTGGCTTCCAGCTCGAAACGAATTCTGTCTATGTCCAATTCGAACCTAGACCACATTTTGTATGTCAATGGGTACTCTTTACTATTACAATACTATTTACTAATTTAGTGTTATACAGCGTATAATGAATGGCTTGAAAGTGCAATACAAACAGACTTTTAGTTTTTCCAATAGCTTAGATATATAAATATACACATTATCTATGGGGATGACGTAGGTCCAATGCTAAAGATTCAGAACTTATGGTCCCCGATTACCATGTACCTATTACTTATGTGTGGAATTAAGGGGGCTAATCATATCAATTATCAGCTTCATACGGATACATGTCGACTATATAGCACAACAAATAAGAAATTATGCATCTTTGTTTTCCGGCATTTAATGGGAAAGCGTATGATGTAAGGTTTCCCTAAGCTGATCAACGAACTACAAAGAAGACTGTTCGAAGTGGCATATGAACAACTATCAAACACTCAATCAATAATTTCAGGGCAGCAATGGGAAAAATGAATGATGCTACTGGCTAGACGGCATGAAGCAAATTATGACAGCAATACTGTTATTATTAATAATAGAATAATTATAAAATATTAAATAATGTTCTTTTAACCAATGTGCAAAAAGTTTCAGCATGTACACTGCTTAATCGAAGTTGATTACAAATTTTTCAAGTTCAAATACATTGGTGCACACTACATTAGTATAGTCTAATGCTTGGAACAACACCTCGTAGATTGGTAAACCGTTTTATTTAATGGTGGCATAATAGTTTCTCACCAACACCCGTTTTACAGGCAAATGACCCGTTAGGATGGTGTTCCAATTTCTTCGGTCCGAAACTCTGATGCTCAGCTAACCTTCTACTTACGACGTTTTGCCTTCTCTTGTGTTCCTAGTCGCTCGCTATTTCAACTGCATCAATCTTTCTTCCTAGAGGTTTTTCTCTAAAGGAAGTATCTTCACAGAAAGGGAAATATAGGATAAAACTAAACAGATCGATATCTGGAGGTTGCGAAACATGAAACCGGGAATTTCTATGGAAGAACTGCCCAAAAAGCTTCCAGAGCCGACTAACTAATAACAAAATAAAAACCTACACTATTAAACTTATCAGACGGAGCAACTCAAGTCACAATTTGGTGCTACATGGGTTTTTAATAAAGAGAATTTGCAAACTGGTGGCTCACTTTTATGTCTAATTTCAAAGTTAAAGCGCAGTATATTTTTCTCCTTAGGAAAACGGCAAATTTGAAGCCATATTTGAATACCATATTTGAAGTGACACAGGAGTAGCGTTAATTTAAATGTGACGTAAAGTACATGCAGAGGTATAATTGGTAAAAACATAGGACATCAACAACAAACTTCTGTAGTAGCGACTGCCACAGATATCATTAGGTAAAAGCATCAATGACTGCTCTGGTTAACAAAAACATCCTTCTATGTTTCAAGTTCGATGTTCGGCATCGTCGTTAGGCATTCCATCTCGCGGCTGGCTCCCAGCTTGAAACGAGGTGTATCAATACCCGCGCTTGAGCCTAATTTTGCGCCTAAGGTTAGCAGGCAAATACGTCATCCACTAAGCTATCTCAGGGGATGTGCAAGCGTACATTGTTGTCGCTTTTATGCTAGCTTAGGTAACTACGTTATGTACCAGTGCTTGAGGAAAAATGCACAAAGCATATGGGCTCGAGACATAAACCCCACGACTCATTTCAAAGATTATACAAACCAACAGCAAAGATGATATTGCGGTGAAAAAGATTAACTCTTCGCATTCACCTATGTACGCTTCTATGCATAACCTCATTAGTAGTGCGATTGCGATTTTCGACATGCGGCCATTATGCCTGTAACTTTAACCATGACAAAAATTTGGTCTCTAAGCAATAATTTTGTCTCGTCACAACTGATATGTTCAGCGACTCGACTAGAGAGCCTCGTTGACCCTGAACACCTGTGCGTTATTTGGATATTAATCCGTCTCTTGTTGTCAAGTTGTTTGGGAAACGAAGCTTTGCACTGGAGACGAAAAGCAAATTGGTTGGTCAGACGAGCATTAGGCAGCGCGTGGGTGCCGATAGCAGTGACACAAATAAGCTCAGCGTTATTTACTAGATTACGAATGTTTGGCGTTCAGTAAGATTTCGTAGCTGTTTAGAAGCTGAATATACTAACCCAAAATGGCCGAGAGCCATCAGGGCAGCAGCCCCCGTATGACCAAGGGGAAGATCATGTCTACGGCGCCCACGCGTATGGTGACGATGATAGATACTATGCGCAATTCTGTAATCGCTAGACTCTTCGCCACTCAGCCGAACCTGGGGAAATCTCTCTACGCGATGTTACAGGTAAAAGAACGCCGAACGAGAGGCAACAGGAGTCAGTCGTACTCTGTAGCCAATTGAGTCGATATCTAGTGGTTAGTCATTTGAAAGTTGCAAAGACGAACAAGTTTCTTTTTGGCTTGTGATAGTATTGTCAGCAATGAACTTCCCTGTGTGGTTGTTCCTATTATCCGCTTAATTGATATACCATTCTAGGAAAGTCCTACCAGGAGTACCTCTTTTAACGAACCCACAACTTTTACTAAACTTTAACTTAAATAAATAGAAGTGAAATGTTGAAGGATACGTTTGTACTTGACTGATCACTTTAGTTCAAAAGTTAAGTAGATCTCAGCGAAAAGCGGTCGCCAAATGACACTTGGCCCAAATGTGATTCTTATTAACATTCGGTGCTGAGACATGCGTGCCTGAAATAGAAGAAACCAATATTTAGCAACTATGTCGATCTACAGCTAGTAATATCGCAAACGTTTGTTTGCACATAGGTATTAATTAAGGAAAGGCGCCGAACTCCGATTGCTGATCGCCAAATACTCGAGCATTTCTCTACTGAGCAGCTCGTTCAAACAGCCACTGAGATGTGTTACTCAATTGAACGGAGGACGCTTTTTACACAGGTAGGTCGTATAGGTCAATTGCATAAAGAAACGTGACATTCTGCATTGGATTTTTGGGAGAATATTAGAAATCACATGCCATAGTCATATTAACACTTAGTTTTTTTGATGAAAATAATTTTTTATGCTGCGAAATTCGTATTTCGTATGGCTTCAAAGTTTGAGTATTTCTATTATATGTATCTACGTGCTAATAAACGCGGCAAAACGCTACTAATTTCTTTGACTAGGACATCAAAGACATGATCGAGAATCTGATGCTGTTAATGGAGCGCATCTTCAAGCTGGCTCCTCAAGTGGGCTTACCTTTTTCGAAGGACATCACTAAGTTTATTCTTATCGTTGCTGAAATGGCGGCCGAACTTCAGCTTCTAGAATTGGTGACCCCAATCGACTGGACAGCACTAGCCGATATCGTAAAGTTACGCGTGCAAACCGTGCGTGAAATCTAATTTACCAAAGGCATCAGGTTGCGTACGAAATACACCCAACTCGATTTCTCTTCTAATCGCTATGGTGAACTAGCCTCAACAATAAACTTTGTAATCAATGAGGTAACCTTAATTTACCTTATAGATTCGCAAGTGGTTCCTGGGTCTAACATATAGCATTTTAATTTTCCGTTCCCTTGACTACCTAAAGTCAAAAAAAAACACGAAAACAGTCGCTGAAAGATAAAGGATGCTTTGCTAGGCACAGTCGGCTGCCACTATCTATAGACACCAGATCAGGCTTTGAGTATTGTATAGTGGCGGGTTGTAAACAAAAAGATGTTCCGCGCCATTTTTCTAAGTTCGACTTCAAATGGTTGCAGGTTCCCTCATTGGTTTAAACCAGTTGACAGTTCATCAACAAAAAACGATATCCAATGACTGGCAACGTCTTATTATTAATTCACTTATTATTAAGTGAATTATTTAGCAAGTGCATTTAATTTTTGCTTGTTATGTCAAATGTTTGAGAACGTTAAGTCTCCTAGATTTGCTAAAAAATACACCTAGTTCTTTAAAGGAAAGCAACACTGTGCATATTTATGCCTTTCTCAGTTGGAATATTTGCCGAAATACAATTTACTGCGGTACATCCCAAGGATATCAGATCTCGAATCGGAACGAGTGGTTGGGTCAGGTGGTTTCGGTGTGGTATACAAAGGATTTTATGTACCGGCAAACCTGACCATCTGCATAAAACTCATCCCTGAAGCTCGCCTTCCCACGATTGAGTGTATTGCGTCAGACAAGGTTTGTGACGTTTGAAGGCAGAAACAGTACGCTATTTGCCCGGTCTCATCGTACAGCCTTAAGGGTGCCTAGATCGTTAAAGGCGCTAGGCAACGTGCATTATAACATATGTATGTACATCAGATGATTTTCTATGATTGGGAATATTGAGACCACAGCAAATGACTACTATATCTACTGAGCTGGGGTCCAACATAACAGACAGGCTTTGTATGTCTCCATAGTTATTCGTCTAGCTGACACTGTCGCCCGGTCGTTGGTGTTCTCTGTCCTTCAGCTGGTAGCATCGATTATCAACTCGCCCTTCCTGATTCAGTACCTGAGCGTGTTCAAGGTTGAAGACGCTTTCGTCACACTTATGGAGTATGTCGAAGGGATCGATTTGAAAAAACTCATGTCAATTCAAAGATTCCTGCCCGAAGATGTTCTGCGGCTGTTCGTCGTCCAGATGTTTCTTGGCCTAGGTGACTATGAATAATACACACTAGTACCAATCTATAGAAATTAATATTTATCGACAATCGTTTGAGCATTCTTCTGCCGGAAAACCGGCTAGCTCGTACAGATATACAATTTCCGTAGCAACCTAAACGCTTTTCGTTAACAACGATTTGGGTCGAGTAAGATCAAGCAGCTAACCATTCTAACTAGGAATGATGAAATGTTCTTTTTAGAACACCTGCATTATAAGGGTTTCGTACATCGTGACTTGAAGTTGCAGAACGTACTCATCAAGGAAAGCGGGCATTTAAAGGCAAGCGTTTCAAAATATGACGTTGAACTTGGAAACAAACCGATTCTTAGTTGAAGAAGTTTCCTGATATCTGCTTCGCCTAAATAAGATACCATTAAGAATGCAGAACAGAATTCGGAGGTTTCGTATGGAAGCGCGACGTATTTAGCCTTTCGGTTAACAAAATATTACGTTCTAGTTCGGGGTTCCCTAAACGATAAACATTGCTACCGTATTTCTCTAAAGTCTCGTGTTCACCTTACTAAACAGGCGATCTGCGCCACGGTCGTTTGATATCCTTTAGGCAACAACTAGGAGTTGACAGCCAAGCACAACTGTTAGTGGCTGTCTCAACAATAACAGAATTAATGTTTGTTCAAGTTGCATAGGAATCTTTCTATATTCATGCTGACTTTTTGAAAGCATGTATTTGTCGTCCTGTTATGATAAGGTGATTGACTTCGACACAACGAAGTTGTGTCTGTCGAACTTTGTCAAGGGTCGAATAATGGCGGCATTTTTCAAACGGACGGCGAAAGAGTTTCGTGATAACGAACTTGCCGGGACTCTCCCGTACATGGCACCAGAATCCTTTAAGGAAGTCGAATCGAAAATTGTAAGGCTTATTAGTGTACTAAAGGTATCTTTTCTTTGTTAACATACTCTAGTTTGTGCTTTAAGAAAGGTCTCGCTTTTTTACTTGATTACATCATCGCTTATTTCTATTTTGGTTTTTGTGAATAATTTTATTAGAATTTGTGAAAAATAAGCGTAAAATTATCCAGCCACGGCTTTTAAATACGAGGACGATTTTTTGTCAAGTAAGGTTATACATATTTCTTGAGCTCGTCTATTTGCATCAATTAATGATCGCCGCATTAGGACATATAGTTAATTTGCATTATTCTCTTACCGCATTCTAACCTAGAATACAACCAAAGAGATAATGGGAAAATGCCCTTCTGGGGCGGGGGAATACATTTCACTAAATTCTCAATGTCACCTTTTTAGGTAGGAGATTTAAAGAAGAAAATATTAGACGTCGTCGTATAGATCGTCGGTTCATCAAAATTTTCACCTGACCAGCTTTTTTTTTAGGGTTACCCCTACGGAAGAGCCGTAGACTGGTGGGCACTTGGTGTGACAACGTACCGCCTAAGCACAGGGAAGCTTCCATTTCGAGCGAGCACAGAGCAGGAGTTGCAAGATAAGGTGAGTCCACTTTAGGCTGTAACAATGATTAAAATGCAGGTAATCAGGTGGTTCGTGTTAAAATGTATTTTTCACTGATCTGGATGTTGATATCTGGTTAAAGATGATTCATTGGTGAATCCATATTCGGGCTTATCTCGCTGTTCAGATTCGTTGCTTGTTTGTACGTTAATTTATGACGCAACCAAGTATTTACTGTTTTTTAAAATGCAGGTTTTACACACTCATATCACTTGGTGTGCTCAGGATATTCAGCGGAACCCTTCGGAACTGATCGACATAACAAATCGGCTTCTTGTAAAAAATCCGTCGAAGAGATTGGGATCTGGGCAATCGTACCGCGAGCTTCGGATGCATCCCTATTTCAGCAAAGTCGATTTCGGGAATTTGCATACGCTGACACATCTATGTGAAGTACCCTCCTTTCGGGAAGCATTTGCTAGCAATGAGAAAGCAGTCATACCAGACAAACCTGTCTTAGAGATCAGTAAGTACTTGTCTTAGAGATGAGTAGGTTTTCGTGTACAATTCATATAAAAGAGACAATAAAGACATAACCATCACAGTACCAGCCGAAACGAGTTCCAATACATCTTCCGAGGTATATTAGATCTCGTTACGTCCTTACTTGAAATACGGTATGATATAAATACAAAGCTCCGAACGAATCAAGTTCAGAACATATCAAACCGAACGCGCCTTGATAGGTCTATTTGACATGGGAAGCCTAATAAAATCCCAAGAAGCAAGCATCATTGGGAAAGACATCGGGCATTCTGTTGCAGTTAACCAACCTTGAGTTAGCAAAGCAGTTCGTGGTTTGGGACGGTTTATTCTCAGACGAACTTATCGTTCATTCAAGAGATGTGAGCGTCGGTCTTGATTTCCACTGTAAGCTCCCAACCCTGATTCTATACTCTTCAAGTATATATTGAACAATGTCGAGTAATTTTATAATAATCTGTGCACAGCCATTTTATCTATGGTTTACGCAATAACTCTATAGCATTCGAGTCAGAGTGAGACACTTTGCTGTCAAATGCGTTAATAATCATGCGCATTGATGACCAAAGGAGAAGCAACAACGGTAGCAGAACTACTCATTATGCATTTTATTATTATTTGAAGGGCAACTCAGAGATGCTCCACTACACAAACAGAAGCCTATTCTTACCTTTGCTTCTCCCGGCTTTATGCGTTTAATGGACCACCTCCGAAGCCAGAGAACATTAGCCGAGGGAATTGACCAAAGATACTGCGACGAGCGCCGTCTGTACGGATTAGGAACCCTCAGTTCCGAACGAAACTACGAAATGCATTCTGATGAACCTGTAAAATCCTTTGACTACAAAACTCTTGAGACAATGATTGGGTAAGGTACATAGGGATGTTCACTTGTTCTGTCTGTATAAAATTACGATCAGAAACCTGTGTGAGGTTGCGCTGCAGAATTTTTGACGCAGATTGCATAACGGGATTGACGGAAAAAAGTCAGCTGTAACAGTGCCTTTAACTAACTCCGCTCTGCGACGGCGCAGTACCTCCCGCCATCCCCGTTATGCTAACTGAACATACTGAAAATACATAACCCTTAACCCTAATTAAAAGGAAGGCCTTAGGAAAGGAATGTCTTGACCGCAGGATGGGCTATTTTATGGCTAATGAAATTCCTATTGGAATTATTTGCTTTTACCGAATCGTCAACTGTACCAGCGTGCGCCACTTCGTGTCAATCCAGTTGGAGGCTGAATCAAAACAGTGCTTTCAGGGCTTCACATATGGTTTTGAACTATTGGAAGTAACTGGTGTGTCTGGACCAGCTGCCATGGTGTGCAGTCTCCGCTCTGAATCAGTGAAGAGGAGCGGCTTAATCGTGGGCGACATTATTTACCAAGTAGACGAAGTGAAGGTAAGCTATTTTCCCTGGTCATCATACGTCGCACCCATTCAAATGCACGTTTATAGAATTCATGTAAATAATTTAGCAGATAGCTAAACGTGTTGTGTACAGAAGCTACCCCTTGTCCTCTCTATTCCAACGAAAGCATCTGGTAGTTTACTCTACCTTTTTTTACTTTATCAGACGCAGGAGGGTTTAGAGCGCATAAAAGCTCACATGAAAAACAAGCCTATGGTCAAAGTGTCCGTGTTTGCAATGACTCCATTTCGGTTAGCCGATATGGGATTGAATGTGCCCCTGGCTGTTTCATGGGTTGGGCGCAAAGATCTTCTAGTGACACGCGTAGTAAAAAGGCAGATCGATACGGTAAAAGCGTTCGACGTATTTACGCAGGCAACATCCGCGGCGTCACATCGATCGCGTCCCATGTACCTTCACGTCATTGGACGGTTTGTTATTTATGGAACGAAGTGACTGTAATTGTACTAGTAATTATAATTCGTATTTAATATATGAAAGTTGACTAAGAAGCTAGATTGCAGACAGGATTTTACGCTGCATTTTTTCAATCAATTTTTTCAAATTTTTCGAATTTCAATCAGTACGAGTTAAGCCGCTAGTGTTATCGGAGCTTGCTCATAGTAATGCTTTAAATGCAGTTTAAATGCTTGTAACACGTTCTGAATTTTGCCTATATATTTTTTACTATTTCATATATTTTACTATAGTAGGGTGCTAGACAGGAATTTCTCTAGAGATGGGAAGATTTTGTGCACTGCAATTAACTTCTAGCCCTAATTATGGATCGACGAAGCGCTATGCTAATCCAAATCTTTCCAATACATTGCTCAGAATCTTTCTTCAGCTTAGATTTGACCTTTTTGCTTGCATATTGACGCTCGTGTGGATCCAGCATACACAGAAAATGCGTGGTCACGTTTCCGCCTGACGAAAACCTTTACGTTGCTGATGTTGTGCTAGCTGTAAACGGTGCATCAACATCCGTTATGCGTAGCAGAGAAGAGGTCATGAATGCCATCAATATGACAGCAAAGGAGCACGTCCAAATCACGATACTGCCCGTATCACCCTTGCGCCTGCCTGACCCCGAACGGTAAGAGCCATAAAAACGTGAACATTCGGGTTTTTGGAATCGATTACACATGTCGATGGTTTCTATTAATGCGAAGTGTCGTCACTTCATCGCAGCATACGGGTCTAGGTGACAGATGGGCCTGGTGAGTAGAATCGCGGACAACGTAATGACAGATTCCAGGATCAAGATTGAGTTTAGGTAACAGTCGGATAAGCAGTTGCTTTTTGCAATACTCTTAAAATCGAAGACGAAAAAACAAGTAATGGAGTTAGAAAATACTTCGCCGCCGTTCGGTAGCTGCAAGCACGATCAAGAGCGAGTTCCAAATGACACGTATTCAGGAAAACTTAGGCGCGAATAGTGGTTCATTGGTTGTTTGTCTTAAAACTGGCTTGTTTTACAATAAATGTTGCTTATTGCAAGGCTCTGTACTGCACGGGCGTCTGGTCGTTATTAAGCGCATATCCGCGCTGAGAATTATTTCTGAATGACTATACTACTTGCAAAATCCTGTCAATATAGCCCGTTTAGCTACCGGGAGCCATTAATCCAGATACGATCATGATTCCAGCTCCGAATCGAATGGTTACTGTTAGCGGCACTTTGAATTGACCCGCCAGACAGTCTTACGGCTAGTTAATCTCTATATCATAATGTTTAATATGTAGTGTGCTTAGGGCTGGCGTAAAGATGCCGTGAACGATTTTTCGCTTTGTCAGGATATTCATTTCTGGGACTTGAACTCGTAAAATTGCAGATAAAATACGACCAGTAGTGCTGCTAGTTGAGAGAAATCGCTTTGCTGCTATGTCGTCGAAATAAGCAAAACAAAAAAGGGAACTGAGTGAGCCGAAAATCTAGTTTTAACGAAATTACAAGATATACACGCAACGTACACTAAAAAAAAATCAAATTTTTTTACATTTTCAATGTAATTATTACAGAACTCGGTGAACATATACCGCGGTGATGACCTATCTCAGGTTCTTATGAAAAAGCAGCGGGTCCTCTTCTTTAGTGCTGATTTCATGCTTAAGATTTATTGTCAATGCCTTCAACAGATACATTACCGCTCTGCTCCACCGTTGACTAGTTTGAACATACAAAACGAATCATTTCATTGTAGAAACATCGAGCACATGCTGAGCATCACAGCTCGGGTGTTGCCGTATGTAACGATGTACCACGTCGCTGGTAAGTATTAAAAACCCACATGATTTTGTAAATAAAAAAAAAAGCGTGAAATTAAAGTAAATCGGTTTTTATTGTCAGGAAACTAAAATGTCCTGTTTAGTGATTGCTAGTATCTAGCGTTGTTGACAAAAAGTAGGCGCATTCCAATACACTACGTTACAGCGAATTTTTAAAACTTCCCGAAAACTTGTTCATGCTCGAGGAAACCACAGAACTTGCATCGTTTGAGCCATTAAGTTGTGGCTAGATTGCTAGGATTCTAGTTACCTGTCGAATGGTAAAAACAAAGGGATCTATTTTTAGGATCGGCCTTAAAAACAGCTATAGTACACTAACGCAGGACCATTTAACGATTGTGTTCTAGTACGATCGTATTCGGGGTTTTGCAATAAAGACAATTTTACACCATCGTTTTGTGCGAAGCAAACATGTTGGTCATTATAACAGACACTATTGCTGATGTTGTAGTGGTTTTTCAGAGGCCACTACTGCTTTTATACTATACATAAAAAAAAAAATGAACGCAATGAAATTACAATGAAATATTGCTTCGAAGTACATGTAACGCGCTATACATTTGATTGCCCTCGAATGCAAGGCTACCATTTATGACGGAATATCGAGCCAGTGGGCTAGCAGCAGCGAAAATTCTATGTATCATAGGTATCCTGCATTAAAAATATCAGTACACATATAATTGTTGCGTTCATTTTAACAGTTGTTTTCGACTACCGTGTGGGGAGTTGCTTGCTAGTCGTAGCTAAAAAATTACATGGATCGTTGTAGATTATATTTCCACTATTAGTAATTTACATTACTATAAATCTATATGTGTGTGGTCTTGGATTTAAGTTTCGGAGACAAACGCTTGCTCGTCACCGATTACCAGCCATGCCCGTAGTGACCATGACCCTTCGTGATCACAGGGACCGAATGATAAGATAGAATTGGTTTTGATTCGTAATGAATTGATTTGATCGGCTTAGAGATGTAGCTGACAACAGGCTTCTTCACGTAGTGCGTTGACACAACGGGCTTCTTGATGTAGGAGACGTGGGCGACTTTATGGTGCGAGATGTGGTAATGGTCATGACCATGGTCTCCGAAACCTCCATAGCCTCCGCAACTGACTCCAGTAGCCAAAATCAAATATACAGCGGCGACGGCAAAAGTGAACACGGCTGAGGGCGTAATACCAAACATTTTCTGGAGACTGTTGGAGCCGTCTGCTAGCTAGCTATAGATAGGCAAAGCTGAATGCAAATGGTTGGAGGAGAAATACAGATGCTGGTCTGATATCTTACTGTAGATCCAGATGGTTTTATAGAGGCACTTCTCAAGCGAATTTCGTTCACTCGCTCAGTTTGAACAGGTCTCTATCGGGTAGCTTTCCGTTGGATTAACGTCGGATGCAGGGTTTTAGGCGCAGTGTTCGCTTTGGCTAAGTAACGTGACCACGTAAAATAATACGCGCGTTAGTCGCTTGACCATAGATTACGGTGAGTGACTACAATTATAGAAACCGACGAATTTTTTTTAGAATAATTCTGATGTCAGCTGAGAGGTAAACACTTTCAAAAATCTTAACCACCACGACGTATTTTTCTGGAAGGCCAAAGGTTATATTTTACTGAACAATTGGTTTAATTGATGATAATAAGGGTCTGCATAATGCATTTGCCCTTAACCTCCAAAAAAAATGTAAGAGCTTTTGTTGTGACCTTTCTAAAAAATTGTAACGCATATAATGAAGTATAGTATTATACATGTTCTTAAAACTGTGTACTGTTAATACATTTGTAGGTAAAATTTCGGTAGAGGATCCAGGGTAAGATTGGACTTCTTCAATATGATTCGTATTTATTTTCGTCTGTCTTCAATTCAATCAAGGAAAAATCTGAAAATACTATTTTTCGAAGCAATGCGACTTCTAGATTCGATCTGTAAAAAGAAAAATGGGAATCGAAAAGTCATGCTTTCGTAGACAGTATTGCGTATGACTGAGTTAATATATCGAACCCTGAAATTGAAGCGTATAGAGAATCACTGAGTCCACATGAAGACCGAATACACGTACCATAGGACCAGCTACTAATTCTATTCTAGAAATAATTTTACTCACTTCACTGAAGACTTCAAGCGTTTAAAAAACAGCCTTCTTCTCGAAACCAACCCAATAAAGAGGATCATTTCGGTAAGATACGTTTTGTTCTATGTAGAAAGAAAGGCGTCTTGGCGTCCTGTATATTTTGCGTTTAACCGTGTGTAAGTATGGTTTGTCGGAGCTTAGTCATAATTGGGAGATAATAGGTTATTGGTCAAACACATCTAATATGCATCGTCGTAATGAGGGGGTTGAATTAAAATTTGTTCTTAAACGATTCAATCTACGTAGTTTCTACGCTTTACCCGAACGGAACTAGCCTTATCTGTTGGCTTATGTGTATATTTATAAATCTTCGGGTGTGGTCTACATGCTGTTATTCTATTAGTTGAAGGCTCTTCGTGGTGACGACTAATGCGGAACTCAGTTAAGTTACGTAGTAAGTAGACTGATTTGGCCGGTTAAAAGTTTCTTCATATAGTGAATTAACGCTGTCCGCTGTGGGGTATGAACGCAACAATAATTTTGGAAGCGACCGTAAGGCACCTAAAAGACTGGCTTGTTATAGGCATTACTCTAAGTATACGTAATGGCAATACATGGTTTACGTATCGTTTTGTTGCTATACATCCTGCTAAAGCACTTCCTCCAGTCATAGTTCGACAATATGCCGTTGTATTTTCCATCATCATAAACTGCTTCTATCTAAAACAGATGTAATCCTAACAATTTTGTATCTATATATTTTGCACACTAGTATTTCGATAAGCTATTCAGGACTAAGTTCATGCTTTGTTTGGCTTATATGCTGCAGTCCGGTTGTGTAGATCATGGTCGACAAATTTCGTTGGTGGAAGTTCGTAGAATTCAGGTGGAACGTTATATGCCGCGGAACACAACACGCGCTGTACGTTCTGGATATCTTAGAGAAGTAGCCGGCAATGACACCTAGATTCTTACATTCTGGGGCTTGATATCTGTGATACCTATGCTATACCATTGTTTCAAATTTCCATTTCCAAGGCGTAAAGCGGCACGTTCTTCAGTGGATACTGGGAGGTCACACTTTTCACATTTCCAAGTCGAGCTAAGTATTGCTGAACAATAGATTTCCTACATGAACTATAACGTATATTTCTCATCATCCGTACTTTTATTTGCGTAGTGCCTTCGGGACATCTAAACGTTACACAAGCAATCCTAAAAGTTTACCATTTACACAACTAATGTTACTATAGGTAATTCGAAATATGGAAAGCTTTGAGTTAAGCTATCAAAAAGCATTCAAAACCAAAGAGCAAAACAAGTACTGGGGATTACGAGTGCGTATAGCGTTCGGAACTATACTTCTCTAACGCAAAGCACTAAGGCCTATTGCGTACGATTGCCTAGTACTGTATCTTAATATATAAATGAATAGCGTGTCCTATGTCAATCCGTCTGCACTGGCACTTTTCTATGCTTAAGTTATATGCTTATAATATTTGTTAAGAGTTTGCACGGATTGGCGATGCTTGCCGCTTATAAATGGGGTCTGTTTATAGTTCTCTTTGTGGACGAAGCAGGCAATAGCGTACCTAAAGATTTCTCGTACAATCCTTTTTCTAGCGATCTTCGAAAAATCCATTAAAATGGCGTGCAAACTGATAGTCCGAACACTTTAATCATGATAGATGGCAGTCCGTCCGCGTATTTTCAACTATAATTTCTTCAGATGCTGCTAGAAGAAGTGAAGAGACGTCAACACGAAATATAACATGGAGTTTTCTGGGGTAACGGACGGACTCGTTCGATTTCGCTGCCAATTTTTCCTGATTATCGGATATGTCCTTTTAATAAAATTCTTCATGATTTTGATTTCTGCCTTATCTTCTGTAGTAATGTTCCGTCGGCTTGGTGTACTGTACTTAGGGAACCCTACATTACGATCGTCCTATCCATTTTTTACGCTGCGCAGTATAGAGCGTTCCCTCGTGACACGTTATCTTAGCGATTTCTTATTTTTAGTCTTTGTAAGTGGTGGATGCAGTTCTGTGAATTGCTCAAATATAGAAAGCATCTGAATCTATGTATAGAATTTCCTTATTAGAACTCGTAGATACGCTATCAGTCGATTATACACAACATTCAAATTCGAAGAACTTCCGAAGAATAAAATCTGAATAAATCAGAATCTGTCTGGTTTAGGATTGATTTCATTGTGGCGAGTTCTCCGTTAGTAGGAGCAAATTTTACAATCTAACGATGTGATCTTCTAATTCTTTGTGATTCTTCGAAAATATCGGATTTAACCTACTTCAAGGGAATAAGTCATCGTTATAGAACAGAGCGTTCAGTATTAGAAGCAGTGCTTCGGTTCGAGCGACTTCAGCGCAGAATTCTCTTTCAAGAATTTTCTTTAAGATATTATTTTTTAAAAACACTCTGTCGGGTATTTTCTTTCGTTGTCTGTAGTCGTTTCAGATTGAAACTTTTCAACGTTTCATTGCCGTTATATATATACTGCGTTAGTGCACTGCAGAGCCAGTTCCCTAGTTAGCCAACTAGCGGGTAGTAGACTGGTGTCAATCGTCTCGTTCTATCCGGAAAAGTACCGGCTGTGATGAAAAAGCGCTAGCCCTAATCTCACCACCTTCGGATATTCATTGATTAACAAAACTGGTACACCTTCATCTCGCAAAGATCTGACCTTTCTATGGACCTTGGAAGTTACCTGCACCGCTCTTAATTCACTGTAGCATGCGCTATTTTTGAGAACCCATGACTTCAAAATAAATGCTGTTTATTTTCTTCTCGTTTCAGACTCTGTCCTTTATAGTGGAGCTGGCGTTCAGGTAAGTATGATAAGAGGATCCTTGTAGTAATAGTGTCTGTTAACTGGGTAGGTGGTCATTATGTAGGTTTAACTAGGGACGTTTAGGTAGTCCTACTGGTAAGGAGGATTTTGCAATCTGACCGTTTCGAAGCGAACTGCGGTTGAGAGATTTTCCTCTTGGTAGAACATTACAAATTACGTTGTCGTAGTTCACACCTAATATGCCAACATTATATTTGGCCTCATTCTCACGGGTTTCGAACCGCACTCGGGCTGGATTCTCCATAAGTTGTTAGACAATTGCTTGTTACACTTCTGCATATTCTCGTTATAGTCTCCTTAAGTTAAACTATTAGCCAATATGTTTAGTGGCCTTGATACGAATCGGCTCTCCGTACGTCTTATCTTAGGTTTGTCATTAGTTTTTAGTTAGCGCTGGCAAAGCCGAAGCTTAACATGAGGGGCCGAAGTGGTGGGCGAGCACGTTATTGTTGTCTACGTAGAAAAGAACTAAGCACTGTGTCTCATAGAACGTTCTTACACAGCTCAATTTTCAATGGCGCAAGCGTAGACGTAAGAAAAAACGACCAGCTGGTATA